GGACCGAAGAATGGGTTACGAGGGGGAATAGGTTGTCTGTGAGATAAGTCCTTCTACTTTATAGTATGATTGGCGGTCCATTGCATTGAAATATGATATAAAATGTGAGTCTGTTGTTAAAGTAAAATGGCATATTTGCAGTAGAGCTTTTGTTTTCTATGTTAAATGTAAAGTGATGTCCCTAAGAAACGAAGCACACACACAAGCGTGGGGGCTAAAAGTAGCTATGGTTTGCATTGTTAGGTAGTCCATACTAGAGGTATTTGAAATCTTTGTGTTATATGATGTGATTGAATCTCTAAGGCTGCCAAATTAAATAATTAATGCTTTTGTTTGTTTTAATTTTTTGGGATTGCTTGAGGACAAGCAATAATTCAAGTTTGGGGGTATTTGATATGCTTATAATTTACCTATTTATTATATCCCTAATAATTCAAATTTGACAAGCCGTCGTCACAGCTTGGCACCTTTTAGAGATCAATTAACAAGCCTGCATCTTGGAGATGTAAGTATCTAATTTGGTTTTGATATTTATTTTGAATTTTTTTCTTTTGGTTAAACCATTTCCATAAATTCATTTCGTGCAGTTTCTGTGGCAACCATATACAAGCGTCCTTCTTAAACTCCGTGATTTCTGTAAACAAGGCCAAGCCATTTGGAGGACTAGATGTTGAATGTTCTGTTGGGGTGTTAGGGAACCCACGAGTCGCTCAGGGTTGTGAGACAATTTGGATACATACAGGGTGTTCCTAGTGACCCTATGATTAAAGATTGTGCAACGTTTCTTCTTGATCACGCCCACAATATGTCTGGCCTACCTAGTAACAATTGGGTAAATCACCATTCCGCAGTACGTCCTCACTGGAGAAAGAGAGAAAAGTATGTTCCAAAAAATTTGGAGGTTGGATTCTCTGGCCATACATATGAGGGGTACTATGGATGGTTCATAATAAATATTGTCAAGCTTATATCCAATTCCAAAAATTATGAAGCTAAAGGATATGAGACTTCTTCAAGCCGAATGAAATTATATGTGAGTTCATTCAATATTTTTAGTTTTTTATTTCTTATATTTTCCTTTTATTTATTTTTAATCTTTTTATGATTTTTGTATTTTACTCTTTTAATTAACGTTCCATTTTCTTTTCAGAGTAAAGTATTGAACAACATTTGCATGAGTTCCAAGCAGTTTAGAGATCATAGAGATAAGAAGAATCTCCTAGACAATGAACTCGAGGAGCATTTGAATGAAATCATCGATCAAACACATGCTGCTTTAACCCTGGGCCTAAATGATGAGATTGACATGGACGATACCCAAATCCTAGTTGATGATGAACCATCTCTGCCCTCACAACCTGCGCCAGGTAAAAAAGCGAAACCGTGGCCAAGAGAGAAGATTGGAGGAGGAAGAAAGGGAAAAATAGTGATCCCCCCTCGGTCATCGAAAGAACAAAATAAGGGTGATGGTTCAGGTAATCAACAATGAGAGCGCGAAGCGGCTTCTTCTAGGGGCTCGCACATCCAAGTCGATACTCAATTTGAAGACATTGGTGGACCTGAGCCTCAATTTGAAGACATTGGTGGAGAGTCGCAACCACAGTCGGGAGTCCTATTTCTCACCATGGGAGAGTCTCAATCCCAACCCCAACCCCAACCGCATCAACAACAGGGTTCAGTACTCTTGTATGTTTGGAGGGAAGACAGGAACCGCCAGGCACCACATAAATACACTCCGAGTGAGCCTAGGAAAGAAAAAGGAAAAAAATGAGCCCATTGATTTTTTTTTTATTTTTTTTACATTGAAAGTAGTTTTAGGATTTATTTTGGATTGAAACTTGTTATGTTTTGTTGTTAAACGATTGAAGTTTATTATTTTGTTGCCTTAAATTTCTGTTTTTATAAGTTTCAGTGTTGTTAGTGTTGTAAACAGGTTTTGGACTAGTAATCAGTCCAATTTTTTTTTCAATTCTAACACAGAATCGGATTTACAAAATCCGACTCTATTCCTTTTGTAAAACACTCGGATTATGAAAATCCGAATCCCTAGGTAACTAGGGGTTCCTTTTTCTAAGAGAAATAGAAGAGATCCGGATTTCAAAAATCTAAATTTACGTGCATTCGGAATTTGGTAATCCGCTTTTCCCAAAGAGGAGATCCGGATTTTCATAATCCGAATTTATGTAACTTCGGATTTCCATCATCCGTCTTTCACAGAAGAAGTAATCTGGATTTAGGGAATCCGGTTGCACATAAAGATATTTTCGGATTTTCCAACATTTATATTTTCATCCCACTGGAAATTAATATTTTATTAGTAAATTCGAATTTACAGAATCCGTCTTTATATTATTTACACTAAATTTTTTCATTCATTTAATCTCTGATTAACATTACAGAAAACCGGATTTCAATATTCTATGTTTGGCTGCATCCGGATTTTCGAAATCCGACTCTAACCCATCTTCGGATTTCTGAAATTCGTGGTACACAATTTTGTCCACCTAATTTGTGAAAGTTTCTTTTTTTTATGTCCTTAATGTGCAAATATGTATTAGTAAAAAATCCGAATTTATAACTCCAAAAACTTAGGAAATATCCAATTAATTCGTCCAAAAACGCAGCTGCCCTCCAAGTTTCCCGAAATTACAGTTTGGTCCTTAAAGTTTGTAAAAATTGTATTTTAGCCCCAAAACTTTCTCAGTTTTGCACTTTAGTCCATAGTCGAAATTTCTATCTTCTTCTTCAACATGATCATGTGCTATATCAACTCCGCTTCTACTCTTGAGCATAAATCTCTTCCAAAATCAACCATTTTTTCATTCTTTTCATCCAAAACACCTCCTATGATCAAATTAAGTACAAAACACCAATATTAGCATAGATACTACTTAAAATCATACATAAATTACCCTAAATATTACGCTAATATCGACCTTATCACTCTTTCATGTATCTTCCTTCTTGTGGAGAATGAATATGTAAGAACTCATTGTACGCACTAAGAGATAGTGTACTTCTTCTTTGTTGACCAAAAAAATAAAAAAAAGTAAGTGAATGAGTAAGGTTACAAACACTTGGATTAGTGCTGGCTATCCGAGATTTGACGAGGAGAGATTGGGTCGTAGCGGTGAAGCATATTTACAGAGAGATGAATTTTGCTGCGGATTCTCTTGTCGATTTAGCGGCGTCTGGCCCTGGTGGACTGTCGTGGCTAGATGATCCACCGGTTAGTTTTAAGCCATGGTTAGAGCATGATGTTATTGGTATCTCGTACCAACGTGCTGTAGTGAAGTAATAATACTAGGCAATCGCCTCCTTTATTGTACAAAAAAAGGTTACAAACACTTAACTGAAATGAAAGAAATACGATATGCGATTAGTAAGTATCTCTTAATGATTCCGATTAAGTTAAACATCTATAAATTAATATTGTCTGGACTCCTAAAAATTATTAGTTATAGATGTATTAATTTCTCGATAAATTGATACAATTAGTTAGTGCCACTCGAAATTTGATTGAACACAAAAATGATGATGATACTATTTCTTTGGAACCAATCACACGAAAAGAAACAGCTATTCAAAATTTTTTTGTGGCAGCATGTGAAAATACGCCATAGCTTTTTAATGTAATGTAATAAAATGAAATATTTTCAACCTACACACACACACACACACATATATATATATATATATATATATATATATATATATGATGAGTTTGTCACTTCTCATACATCAAATTTTGATCACATGTGTGATAAGTCCATAATTTGAAGATTCCATGTTTATTGTTTTTATTTAACCTTCTTCTGGTTTTGCTTCTTCTATGTCCTCCTATTAATAATAAAAATTAATGATTGAGAAGATCAAAAGGTTGAAATTGATGTCATAGACTTTTCATTTTCTGAAATTTTCATTAGCATTTGATAATCAATTTTAGTCTGTTAATCTTATGAGTATTTTCATTCTTTTTATTTTTTCATGTGAGACATCTACTTAAGGTGAAAGAATACATCAAATAAATAATTAATGAATTGTCTTACTCTTCTGATTACGTGTTAAAAAAATTTCAACACTAATTAACGCAAGAGAATGAGTAGTAAATATTCATTAACACTCAAAGACAAATGTTTCATCTTTTATTGAAACCTCATATTTATCTAACATAGAGCAATGATAGAGATAGTGACTAATCATAATGAAAATGTATAGTGACTAATGAAAAGACAACTACGCCATACTTACTAAATATATTACTTTTTAATTAAGGGTAAAAATATAATTTTATGAGAAAAATATAATTTTAACGGTTAAGTAACTTAAAAATAAGGGCCATAATTAATTCATATCAGTCACAAAATTTTGTCACTATTTTTTACTATATATATCATGTTTCATCAAACATATATATAATTTCATTTCAAATATGTTTGATAAATATAATGCGAGGAGCCATCATTTTTAGATGCTTAACTCAAAGATGTGAGGAGTTTTCTTTTGTAATTAAAATAATAATTTGTGTCATAAAGATATTAAAGAAATGAAACCATTATGAAACAATAAATTCCAAAATTTGTTAAACATTCATAATTGTTTGTCCTTCACTTGCTAATTGTCATTTATTTTATTCTCTTCTGAAATTAAATAAGTGTAAGTAATTGTATTAAAAAAAAAAGAGAGAGTAAGCAATTGTAAAATTAAAGAAAATTAGCTATGCCATGACCATTTCCTATTAAAGTTTAGCACATTATATTTTCACAATTTTTTTTTGTCTTTTCGTGTTTTACACACGCAAACATTAGGACACGAGTATTACATAGTTCAACAACTTTGCCCGTTTATTACTTTTAGTTAAAACAGAGTAACTTCTAAAACTATATTAGTCCAGTTTAGATTTTTTTTGGGACAAAGGGAATAATAGATCATTGGATGCATATCTTCAAAGCACAACAACAATTGGGGTCAAACCAAAAACTAAACCATCAAAGAGGTGGGATGGAAATAATCATATTGTTAGATGTTCTAGTGATGGAATTCAAATAAACAATGACTCATACCTACATATTTTAGTAATTAAACCGCCTTTCAAGTTCCGGTCGAGTTATGAAACGGAACAACTCCCATAAATCAGCAACTCCGGTTTAATAATTTCCATTTTCCCCAAAAATTCTGATTTCCTGAATCTGACGGAAAGTCAAAATACCGAAAATATATATAAGTCTGATATAGAGAGTAGCCGAGAGCTCTGAAAAGTGCGTTTCATGGGCTCATAAACCTCAGGTTCTACCTTCATTCATTCACTTCAAGTTTAATTTTGTGTTTGTGTTCTTAGTCCATTTTACGTTCCTTTTTCATCAAAGCAACGATTTGCTTTTCTTGGTTGTGTTTTCTTTTCTTTCTTTCTTTCTTTTTTTTTTGGATGCTGTAAAATTTGGCTGAGAGAAATGTTTTGTGATGTTTTGTGGTTACTTTCAGGTAGTGGGTTCTGATCCAATTGGAGGAAATTTGAATTTTGATTATTGGTTGGTTAAGTTGAAACAAATAGGAGAAGAGGGATGGTGCTGGTATTGGCATTGGGTGATCTTCACATCCCTCACAGGGCACCTGATCTGCCTGCAAAGTTTAAGTCTATGTTAGTTCCAGGAAAGATTCAACATGTTGTCTGCACTGGGAATTTATGTATCAAAGTGAGTACCCTTTTTTTGTCTCCGGAATCTTTGAATTACAATTTGATGGATTACACTGTTTGGTTGATTGGGGTTGCGGGGAACATTCGGAAAGGATGTTAGGTTGACTTGAAAATGCCAATTTGATTCCTCATTTGTTGGTTCCTTGTTATAGCGTCGTTTATTGCAATTGTTCTGGCAAATAAATTTGTCTGCTGTGTTGAGTTAGTTGGTGCCCTTTGGTGGATCCTGTACTAATTGTGATGCTTGAGACCATGTATGGAAAGTGAATATTTGTGTAGAGTTGTTTTGAGAAATAACCAATGAGTCAAGAAATGAATTCTCCTATGTTTGAAGTCAATTGTAAGTTTTAAAGTTGGTCATAGGTAATAGAACTTCATGTTCATCTTGAAATGTCCAAAGATGTATGGAATATTTTCCCTTTTACTTATTTTTCTTCTTTTGGTTCACCAACTTCGTAAATGCTTTGGATGAACTAGGGAAGAGAAAATTATTGGAGTGATAAGCGTATGGATTGATCACCATGAGATGATTAAAGCATTGCACTGATTATTAATACTTCTTCTCAGAAAAGAAAAATTCCAATTTACTAAGATTTGATTGCAGAATACACATTAAAACACTAGCAACTCAGTAAGTGTTTTGACTAATTCACATGTCCTTTTTGAGTTCTTGCGTGTTACCTTGGGTGTACGTCTAAATTTATTGTGAATGCTCAGTAACATTATCTTCCTTCAGCCCCCACAGTAAAAATTAAAATTTTCTGCTGCCTTTTGTTCTAAAATCGATCCCTCTTGTTAGATCAAAAGTAACATGAGTATGTGTTCTAGACTCTAATCCTCTATTACTGATTCATAAAATATTATCTCCCCTTCTATCCGTCTGCACACTTTTATCATGAGTCTTTATTGAACTGGTGAAGTAAAACCTAGTTTCTTGCTCCGTGCTGAGCTCTTCTCTGAAAGTTATATTCAGTGGTGGAGTGTGTGATAAAAGCCTGTCAAGTGAATGACATGTCTTCTCTGATAAGGTTGTTAATACGTTCATATGTAGCTATGGAAGGGAAACCTTGGAGCAGCAGTAAAAGTGGCTACCATGTGCCCTGAGTTCATAGATTTGAGTCATGGAACAGACTTCCATAGAGATATAAGGTCATTTGCTGCCTTTAAAAGGCCTTAATGGCTTACCCTCCCCCCTCTCTCAAATATGATGAGCTTCTTTGCAACTGGCTACCCCCATTTTTTCCCCATATGTGACTTTTGAGATGATATCTTTATGATATGTGGAGCCTTTGGAACTGCAATAAAGATCCGTTCTGGACTTAATCTCAAAACTCTAATTGTTAAGAAATTCATGCCCATGTTTTTCTCTTATGGAATTCAGTAGTTATTTAGAAAACAAACCGAGGATTAGAAGTGATAGTTGAGATTTGTTTGCTTTTTATCCTGTTTCAATTTTTTTCGTCTGGTTAGTGGTGAATGAATGAGCTCAAGATTAGCCGGCTCTACTTAATGAAACTCTGGGGCTTTCAAGGTTCTTTTGTAATCTAAATTTGTGCTTGCTTTGGGGCTTGAATCACAAACTGTTACTAGGTTTGGTGAGGATAAATTAATGCAGAGAAAAATGTAAGAACTGCAAGCAGTCCTACTACTAGGTTTGGTGAGGATAAATTAATTCAATCTGTCTAAAGGTGAGAAAGCTTTTCTTTAAAATCGAAAAGAGAAGTATAGATTACTAATGTTAACATACAGGTTGAGTGTAGGCAATGATATTTCAGATATTCTTTCCTGAATTTTGTTGTCCCTGAATTCTATCAAAATAGATATCCTGAAATCTTCCTCTGTGGACATAGGCCCTTTGTTCATCTTAGGGAATATGAACTTTACAATGTTAAAAGATGTTTTCAACAAGGTGTTCATGTACTGCTTGTTTGAGAGGAAGACCTTTAATATGAAAGTTGGAATGTTTAGGTGTTGTGTTTGTGCTAGGTTGTTTGCCTTAATGTCTGGATTGAACTCCATTATGGTGCATTTGGCAAGAAAGTAATTATTAATAAAAGTGCAGGTTAGCTAATTAATAAAATGAACTGTTTTTTTCAAAAAATTAGACATCTTCTTAAGAGAGTTTATCTCGAGTACCCCACCTAGTGGGAAAAAGGTTTGTTGTTGTTGTACCTCCAAAACAGATGTGAAAAAGTCCTAGCAAGTTTCTTGATTTCATAGTATATATTTTATTGTACAAGTTTCTGATATAGTTAGTGGCTCTACTGGAGCTTGAAAGATTTTCCAGTATGTGTAAATGAGACTACCCACAATTCTCTTGAGGGAAAAAGCTAGAGGCCTGAACTGAATTTCCATATTGTTGTTCAGGTAGGCTATTCCCCAAGGAGAGTTTGCCCTGAAGCATCCTCTATCAAAGAACAAAAATGTACTTTAGTACTTTCTATATGATCTTATTTAATTCAGTTTTGTTACTAGTTGTTATGATTAGTTGTTAATGAACAACATATTTGAAGTAATACTTTATTTGACTGAATAAAACTATCGAAAGAAGGAAAAACTAGGTGGAATTGGAAGGATTATCTCGTAGTTCTCTATTTGCTTATTGAGAAATCAAAATCTTCCATTCAATAGCATTTTGGCTTGTAAGATTTCTCTCGGCAATTTTGTGGTTTGGAACTTCATGACTGCCAGGCGAAAGGGCATGTTAAACTGATGAAAAACAACTTCCAAAAAAGATCGTTTCTGTTGGATAAAACCTTTCTAGCTGTGGAGCATTCTTTTTTGCTACCTCTCCTGATCAGTTTGTAAGCTGGTAGATATGTGCATTATGTTCTGATCATTTTTAAAAATGTTGTTTCCAATTCTTGGTTTTTCTAAGAACCCAGCTTTATGGCATGAGGCAATGTTGAATACCTTCGAGTGCGTGAACAACATTGTCCACTTTCTCACTACCAATTTGCCTTGAAAGATATTGTGCAAATGTTTTGGTGACATAACTTATAATTGTATGAATCTGTATCTGCAGGAGGTTCATGATTACTTGAAGACAGTTTGTCCTGACCTGCATATAACTCGTGGTGAATATGATGAGGAAACACGCTATCCGGAGACCAAAATACTAACCATTGGGCAATTCAAGCTTGGAATATGCCATGGCCACCAGGTCTTAGTTATTTTTCTTTCTTCAGTTTCATACGACTTGTTCATGATTTCATGTCTTGTCTTTGGTGGTTTATGCATCTATCTACATGATCCCTTGGCTACTTGTGTCATCATCTTTTAATATAAGTTCAGAAACTTTAAAGATATCAAGTCTGCTTGCTTCGTTGGGTTATAAATAATGATTAAATCTCATCTGATATCTTTCTGGAACTTTGATTTTTCAAAGGTCATTCCATGGGGGGACCTCGACTCATTGGCCATGCTCCAGAGGCAGCTGGACGTTGACATTCTTGTTACTGGGCATACCCACCAATTCACCGCGTATAAACACGAGGCTGGAGTAGTGATAAATCCTGGTTCAGCTACTGGTGCCTACAGTGGTATCACCTACGATGTAAACCCAAGCTTTGTTCTGATGGATATCGATGGCCTGCGTGTTGTTGTCTATGTTTATGAGCTCATTGATGGAGAAGTGAAAGTTGATAAGATCGACTTTAAGAAAACAACGGCTCCTACAAACTCCACTCTCTGAAGGCAAAGATGCTGACAGTACTGGTTTGCATCCTTAGAAGTGCACTGTTAATCAAAATGCAGCTGTTTACAACCATTGTTTCCGTTATTTTATTATAAATATTTTTTATGGTGTCATTTCTGGTAACTGCATTGATTGTACTGGAAAATATATAAAAAAGAATGTGCTATTTCAAGACAGTGATATTTGCATTTTTTTTTTGGGTAAATAATTTGCATTTTCTATAATTACGTAGACCTTGATTATTCACCATATCATTTTCCACTGTAATGGAAAGATATGTGATGTGATCTTTGATGGATGAAGTTTTGCAAATGTAGTTCTACCAGTTAGTGAAAACGCTTAACTTAAAGACGTAGGATACTTGTCAACCATACAAAGATTTCGCTCTGTCTACAGTAACTTGCCCAGAAGATTTCCAGCAGCTGCCGGAGTTATCCCATTGCCGGTTGCTACAGATGGACTGTAAACTTTTGTTGTTGAGAGGGGGGTGGGTATGGGTTTGTAGTGATGTTTTTCTTCTAAATTGGGTGTTAATGGGATCCATCAATGGACGACAACAATTTTAGATGATTCATAATTCAAAGTCAACCTGCCACTCTAGAAAAAACGAAAGGAATAAGATAACCAGTAAACTGCATGCGGTCAGTAAAGTTCCTCTGAACGAAAGAATAATTTAGTGCATTTTGACGACATACTCAGTAAGTGACTTCGTCATCCATTGAAAAAAAAAAATCTATTTGTATGTTGTTGGATAAGGTATTGATCATCGAGGAAAAAAGTGTTTGCTTCTTCGTAAGCATTGTCATCTTTCGGCTACTAATAGTACAAGCAAACATTTCAGGGTTTTTTGTTGTTGTTGTTGAAGCAATCAGAATAGCAAGGTGAGTTCTTTCTGTCTATACTAATTATGCCTCTATGATCTTGTGCTCAAGTGCTTTCAGATTGCAGACTACCCTTTTCCCCTGTTTTTGAGTAGACTAAAATGTCCAAATGGTTCCTTGCATTTGGGCCAACTTAAATTTACGTCCCTAACATTGATATTTAAATATCGTAGTCTCAAACATTATATTTTCACACTTTTTTGGTCCCATTTCACTGTTTCTGGCTGTTGACATTCCAAAATCAGGAGTATTTTTGTCTTTTAATTTAATTTAATTTTTTATTAAAATTTAAATCATTAAAATTATTTTAAAATTCAAATTTTATTATTTAATTGTTAAAATATTATTTATCAATTAAAAATATTATCATACAATTATAAAATTTATCATTATTTTGAAAATTACTTTTTTCATATACTGTTTCCTTTAAGTACACAGTAAATGGTAATTATGTTACACTTTTAATTTTGGATCCACAATAACTTTAAAAATTTATCAACTTATAGTAAATAATTCAAAATTTAATTATTTTTTTTTAAAAAAAGCAAAACTAAGATTTTTTTTTTAATCTGACCGCTACAGTAAACCCTTAATGGTAATTATGTCACACTTTTAACCTTAGATCCACTGTAAATTAAAAAACTTACCAAATTACAATAAATAATTCAAAATTTAATTTTTTTTAAAAAAAGAAAAAACAAAACCAAGATTTTTTTTACTCTGACCGCTATAATAAAACCTAAATGGTAATTATGTTGCACTTTTAACCTTGAACCCACTGTAACTTAAAAAATTTACCGAGTTACAGTAAATAATTCAAAATTCAATTTTTTTTCTAAAAAAAAAAAAGAAAACCAAGATTTTTTTTTGCTCTGACCGCTACGTTGCTTTTTTAACCTTGGACCTACTATAACTTAAAAAATTTACCGAGTTACAGTAAATAATTGAAAATTCAATTTTTTTTTTAAAAAAGAAAAAAGCAAAACAAAGTAATTGACCGCTACAGTAAATCCTTATATTGCACTTTTAACCTTGGACCTAATGTAACTTAAAAAATTTGGCGAGTTTCAGTAAATAATTCAAAATTCAACTGTGGTGGTCAAAGTAAAAAAAAATCTTTGTTTTTCTTTTTCTTTTTTTTTAAAATTAAATTTTGAATTATTTACTGTAACTCGGTAAATTTTTTAAATTACAGGGTCCAAGGTTAAAAGTGTAACGTAATTACCATTTAAGGTTTACTATAACAGTCAGAGTAAAAAAATAGTTTTGCTTTTTTTTAAAAAAAAAAAAGAAATTGAATTTTGTATTATTTACTGTAATTCGGTAAATTTTTTAAGTTACAGTGGGTTCAATGTTAAAAGTGCAACATAATTACTATTTACTTTGACCTAAGGTAAATGATAAATGAAAAAATTAATTTTGAAAATAATGTAAATTTTAAAATTTTTATAATAATATTTTTAATTAATAAATAATATTTTAATAATTAAATAATGAAATATGAATTTTAAAATATTTTTAATAATTTAAATTTTAATAGAAATTCAAATTAAATTAAAAAACGAAAATATCCCTAATTCCGGCATGTCAACGGCCAGAAACAGTAAAATGGGACAAAAAAAGTTTGAAAACATAATGTTTGGAACTGCGATATTGAAATGTGAATGTTAGGGACGTAAATTGAAGTAGGCCCAAATGTAAGGGAACATTTGGAGATTTTAGTCTTTTGAGTATCGATTAATCCGAACTCTCTAAGGTTGAAAACGTCTTGCACATATGCACATTGTGAAGTTTGGACTAAATCAGAACTATTGTTTGATATAGGTTCTAAATCAAATTGTGCTGTATTCCCAATAAGTACTACATAATGGTATCTCATACACGAATTATAGTTGTTTAGATTTGTGAAGTTCAGTATAATGGAGTTCGAAACTGAAGCAAACATTTTAGGCTGAATGTTCCTGTAAAAACATTCTTGCGACAATCTGGTGTTATGCACTAAATGTTAAAAATTTGGTGATCTGTTTCTTTCTTTTCTACGCTTGATATCACAATGAAATTGAGTGAAGGACATACAATTGACCTTTTCTCACATTTGGCACCTACAACTTTTCTGGAACTACCAGGTCATCTAATTGTGTTCCATTGTGAGCTTTAAGAACTTCTGATGAGATTTCAAAAGTTTTTCACATGAGGTCTGTTTTACAACCTATTCCATTTTTTTTCATTCATCTTTTTCAGTTAATGCTGTACTGCCACCTTCTAATATCAATCCTATGGATTCTGCTGGAACTGTTATGGGCAGTCCGCACATTGCAGGATGAGTAAAACCTCTATTCTTTCCATGTAGATGCAGTTGCAGTCATTCATTTGTTGATTCGGCAATCGAAACATTGCGAGTCTGTGAACATGGAGCAGGAGAGGAAAATGTATCGAACTTGTGTTGATCCCGCTCTTGATATCTTGAAACTTGTTCATGATGATCTTTCCCACTATCCTTCTGACTTGAGGAAACTCATTAAGGGTATGCATCTGGACTAGAGATTCTGGGTTGGGGTTTCCTGAAGAACTTCTACATGATCATTGGATTTTGCATCTCACTACTGTTATGGTGAAAAAATTTAGGCGAACATTAGAGGAGTTTAAAATGCAATTTGAAGCTGCAACAGAAGGAGAAAAGGTCACAAAGTTGGAGCTGATGAGCTTTCATTTAAGGACGCTAATTCAGGAACATAAGTCCCAAACTAGGGAGATGTGCATTTTTGTACTAGATGGTGCATTCAAACATAAGTCCTCTTCCCAACTGGAGGAGTCGTTTCAAAACTATGGAGGTGAGACAATGTTTTTCATGGTTTTTATCCAAAAGAATCTTGAAGCTCTTGGTTCAAATCTTGATCTGAGCGCTCTAGTCAAGCAACAAATTGCCTCAGTTGACTGCAAACTCGGCCTTTTTCGAACATTTGTTTGGGTTCTTAATAGAACTATGGGAACAAACAAACTCATATAACACATTCAAACTTGGGCAAGCGGAATATCCTGTCTTGTATGCCTTTATTGGATTGAAGATATAGATGAGTCTCTAGCATCTACCATTGGGACTATGTTTTCTGATTTGATGCGCAAAAGTGTGTTTTACAATCAAAGGAAATTAGCAATGTTCCTTCAAAGTATGAAGGAGCTTTTATAGGTTGCATGGTGTTACGCCTTTGGATTGCTGAAGGTTTTGTGAAGGCAAATGAGATGCAGTGTTTAGAACATTTAGCAAGAGAGTACTTGGATTATCTTGTCTCTCAAAATTTAGTTCTTGCCACTGAAAGAGGTTCAATGGGACAGATAAAGTTCTGCAATGTTCATGATCTCCTGTATGACTTGTGCTTTCAGAAGGCTATGGAAGATAATATCTTGCATTTGATAGACCCTATGAATGTTATAGATGAAACATGCACCACCATTGGCTTTGCATTCGCGGCAGCGATCCAGCTTTCAGCAGCCAAGCATCCAATTCAACCATGAAGGAGCTACCAACGAGTCAGTTTTGTGGTCTTTCTGTGCTATGGTACCGATAAAATATAATTCCTTATCCTCTTTTCTTGGCAACTTTAGAGTTCTTACGGTGCTGAATATGACTCATGTGTATCTGAGTTGTTCTACGTTTCCTGAAGTCATATTATACAATATTCATTTGAAGTACTTGGCTCTACGTGGTTCTTTTTCTCAGGTTCCATCGTCAATAGCTAATTTGTGGAAATTGGAAATACTCATTTTAATTGCAGTAAGATCTGACTTCTCGTTACCTGAATCCATATGGGAATTTCGGGTTGGCTTTGAAGATTTTGGGTTACATGTCTCATCTAAGGCAGCAAAAAGTAATATCCAGGCTCTTGAGTGAATAATTCTCCGTTATGATGTGAGGACGGAGGAGTTCTTAAGAAGCATGTCAAGAATAAGGAAGTTGCGTTGCTCATATGATGAAGAGTTCCGCCCTGAGTGGCTGTCCATGTTTGGATCTCTGAGAAAATTGGAGCGCTTGACAATTATTGAGAGTAAAGAGATGAGTGATGGACTCTTGTTTCCTTACCATGGTTGGAGAAATCTAAAGCTAGACTTTCCTACCACTCTGAGGAAGTTGTCTCTCTGGCATTTAGAACTACCTTGGAGTGCTATGTCTAGTATTGGGAAGTTGCCTAATCTCCAAGTTCTCAAACTGTATTTTAATGCTTGTAAGGGGTCAACCTGGGATGTGAGAGATGGGGAGTTCACAAAACACAAATTTTTGAAATTATATCAGGTGAATATCAAACGAATATATCAGGTGAATATCAGGTGATTCCTGCTGTGAAAATCCCCCGTTTCCTTATCTCGAGAAGCTTTTTCTGATCCATTGTAAGATACTTGAGGAGATTCCTCCCAGCTTTGGAGACATCTGTACCTTGAACTCCATTCATCTAATTTCATCTCCTCAAGCTGTAGATCCAGTGGCAGGAATTGTGGAACAACAACAAGACATGGGAAACCAGGACCTTCTTAACTAGTTGACCAAGATCATGATGTCGATGATCATTTCGATAATGTAGAAAAGGATGGCTACAATGATAATGGTGATAAGGAGGATGACAAAGATGAAGACGATCTTAGTAATAATGAACAACCATGATCGTGATGAACGTTGTAAGTGGCCTTGGTGATGTTTTTTTTTTTTTTTTTGGTTTGCTGTCCAATAACTGTAAACTGTCCTTGCTTGTAACCGTATTGCTTGATCGATGGTTTTCAGGTAGCAAAAGTGCTCGTTACAGAACATTCCTGGAAGGAAATTCTATGATTTGCATGCAAAATGGGATGCTAAATGTTGCCAACAGCAGTTCAATGTTGAGTTAGTTCCACATGTCAATGTGAGAGGAAGAATGTAACTGGTAATCAATAGCAATCTGGACTATCTTTTTCTTGAATTATATGTAATCAACTTGTAGGTTTTCCTGAGAAACTGTCATTTTATCTACTCATCCAGTGAGCTTTATGAAGAATATTCACAATGGCAACATCCTGATATGGAATGTGGCGCAACCACTGTAGGGGAATTGATTATGGTTTACATCCTCTTGTGGCGGAAAGGGTATAAATACAACACACCACGGAAGCGAATCCCAAGAAAATCTCCTTTCCTACTACTAATAAAATAGGACAACCACCCAAACAAGCAACTGATTCAAGAACTGATAAAATAAAGGAGGCATACGAATTTACGTGGAAACCCAAATCGGGAAAAACTACGGGACTGTAACAACAGTCAAATCTCCACTATTACAATAATAGGAAAACAGTCTTCACCGACTGGTGGATACACAGGACTTCACCTAAAGGTGGATTACAACAATACTCTTCCACACACACCTATCACAAAGTAGGACTGGAAGGATCTAACTAAAAGAGAGCTAAACTGAAAACTAAACCCTCCTTTCTTTTTCTCTCGTACAAAAACAATGCACGGCTACCCAAATTTTTCTTCTCTCTTGGCTGAAAAATACACCCATAAAAATTATGCCAAAGCCTTGCTTTTATAAAGCAAAAAACCTAAAAAACAAAAACCCAATTGGAGTGGGTTTTGTTCCTAAAACCAAATTGATTTGGTTTCAATCATTGCTGGGCCCAATTTGAGGGGAACTCGGGCCCAACAATCTCCCCCTTCACCTCAATTGGGGTAAAACCAAACCCGCTTCCTGTCTGCAAAACAGGAGCTTGTCTCTACTCACAGTCTTCGTTAACATATCGGCACCGTTATCATCCGTATGGATCTTCTCAAGAAACAACGCCTTGGACTCCAACACATCTCGAATCCAATGATATCTCACATCAATATGTTTTGACCGCGAATGAAAATTGGAATTTTTCGCTAAGTGAATAGCGCTCTGGCTATCACAATACACCACATACTTCTCTTGCTTCATGCCAAGCTCTTGTAGAAACTTCTGCAACCAAAGTGCTTCCTTACAAGATTCAGTAGCTGCGACAAACTCTGCCTCTGTAGACAAAGCAACACAATTCTGCAACCTACTCTGCCATGAAACTGCTCCCCCTCCATAAGTCATCAAGTAACCAGAAGTAGACTTCCGACTATCAAGGTCACCCGCCATGTCAGCATCTGTATATCCATCCAACATGGTCTTCCCATTGCCAAAGCAAAGACTCAATCTGGAAGTACCCCAAAGATACCTGAGAATCCATTTCACAGCATTCCAATGCTCCTTACCAGGATTGGAGAGAAACCGACTAACAACCCCAACTACATGAGCTATGTCTAGCCTTGTGCAAACCATCACATACATTAGGTTGCCAACTGCCGAAGCATAAGGAACTTTTTTCATCTCTTCCTTACCTTTCTCACTTTTAGGACACTGCGTTTTGCTTAGCTTAAAATGCCCTGCAAGTGGAGTCGAGACTTCCTTAGCACCGCTCATGTTAAATCTATCAAGAACCTTCTCGATATACTTCTCTTGAGATACCCAAAGCTTCCCATTCTTGTCTGTCACGAGAAATCTTCATCCCAAGGATCTGTCTAGCCGGACCCAAATCCTTTATCGCAAAGGATTTATTCAACTCCTTTTTCAACCATCAGAGATTTTTTGCAGTATCATGACCAACAATCAACATGTCATCGACATAAACCAAAAGAATTATAAAATCACCATCAGAGAATTTCTTTACAAACACACAATGATCAGCTGTAGTCCTTTGGTATCCCTGCCCTATCATAAAGGCATCAAACTTCTTGTACCATTGCCTCGGAGCTTGCTTCAACCCATACAAGCTTTTGTTGAGACGACATACAAGCTTTTCTTTCCCCTTCTCCTGGAACCCATCTGGTTGCTCCATGTAAATCTCTTCTTCCAAATCACCATGCAGGAAGGCTGTATTCACATCAAACTGTTCAATCTCAAGATTCAAGCTGGCTGTTATCCCAAGCACAACTCGGATCGAAGACATCTTTACAACAGGAGAGAATATCTCATCAAAGTCTACGTCCTTTCTCTGATTGAATCCCTTCACAACCAATCTGACTTTGTACCTCGGTTGTGAGCTGTTCTCACTTGTTTTTAGTCTAAACACCCATTTATTCTTGAGTACTTTCTTGCCTTTAGGCAGCTTCACCAGGTCATACGTGTTATTCTCATGCAAGGATTTGATCTCATCTTGCATGGCTGCTAACCACTGACTCTCCCCCATAAGCAACAAATACTCATGAGCACTGAACCTGGCGGAAGGTCTCTTGTCTCTGGTGGACCTCCTAGGCTGAACAGGAGGTGATGAAACCGGTGGTGTCTCTGTTTCAGTAACAGGATCATCATTAAACTCACCATCTTGCTCTGTCTCAGCTACCCCTTCAGGAGAATCATCTGATTATGGAGGAACTGGGTCTAAATCAACAGGAATCTCAGGTGAAGATTCTGGCATCTCGCCTTTTCCCATATCATCAATTGTCTGGTCTTCAAAGAAGATCACATCTCTGCTTCTGAAAACTTTCTTCTTTACAGGATCCCAAAGTCTGTACCCAAAATCATCATTTCCATACCCCAAGAATACACACTGCTTGGATTTGCCATCAAGCTTCGACCTTTCATCTTTGGGAATATAAACAAAGGCACGACAACCAACAACTCGCAAATGCCTAAATGAGACATCTTTCCCTGTCCAAACTCGTTGTGGCAGATCACCATCCAACGGAACTGAGGGAGATAGGTTGATCAAATCAACTGCTCTTTGCATGGCTTCACCCCAAAAAGATTTAGGCAGCTTTGCATTCGAGAGCATACACCTAACCTTTTCGATAATAGTTCTGTTCATTCTTTTTGCCACGCCGTTCTGCTACGGAGTCTTCGGAACACTCTTCTGAAGTTTAACGCCATGGTCTCGGCAATACTTCTCAAACGGACCCCTGTACTCACCACCATTATCTGCTCGAACACACTTCAACTTCTTGCCAGTCTCTCTTTCAACTCTAAGGTGAAAGTCTTTGAACACATCTAATACCTGGTCTTTAGATTTCAAAGAAAAATACCAAACCTTTCGAGCATAGTCATCAATGAAAGTAACAAAGTACAATGCTCCACCCAACGACCTATCTTTCATGTAACATACATCTGTATGAACTAAGTCTAGCGGACTGGACTTTCTAGATAGAGGAGAATTTTGAAAGGAAACCCTATGTTGTTTACCATAGATGCAGTCAACACAAGGTTCTAGAGCAGTACCTTTCACCTCTGGGAGAAATTGCTTCTTACCAAGAATCTGCAACCCCTTAACACTCATGTGTCCAAGCCTTCTGTGCCAGAGATCAATGGAGGCATTGTGAGTCGCATTCACCTCTCCATTCTTCAACTTTGCATTCAACACATACAAAGAATTCAACTTCTGTCCTCTAGCAATGACCAGATTCCCTCTGGTAATTGTCCAACGGCCACTACCTTCAGTGCTATGAGAACCTTCATCATCAAGTTTACCAACGGAAATAAGGTTCAGAC